ACTAAGAGCCGAACATTCCTAGAAAACTTCGTGAAACTCCCACGTACTATACCGAAAATCGATTTTGGAGGGGGGGGGGGGGCGGCCTTAAGAACTGCTAAGATTCATTTTTCTATATAATAAATGAAATTATTCATCCAATACACTGTAGGTATTGTTACGGCCCATCCTAAATGACGTGTCAATGAGGAAGTAAATATTAGAATCATCCTAATCATAGTTCTTTACTGAGAAATATTGCAAAAGACTATTTTTTATTACTTGAAAAATACAATTGATTTTGGCTTGGATTAAGCAAAACAAGGAACTTTTATAAAGGAATTTAGAAGGAAATAATCTAAAAATAAAATGAATTACATTGTAAACTGTTTGCAATCATGACTTTTTGAATTTCTAATGGAGTTAGTTTGAAAAACAATGAAAATTTAACTGAATCGATAATTTTCAGACAGTAAATTTACTTTGTATAGAAAATGAAGCAAAGAGAAAAAAATACTTTCCATTGATGTTTCGGCTTTTCCTATCTGAAACTCAATGATAAATCTCATTTTTGTGATTTCAGTGAAGTTGAATTATTTCTCTTTTAAATATATCAAACTAAGTTCTTATCATATCCCTAAACGAAAAATTATGATTTCCAATGTGAACACTTATTCTTCTGTGTTTATTTATATAAAACTAATTAAAACAACCTATCAATTGTTACGTTTGAATTGTTAAGATCTTTGTTCTTGAGAAAAAAAAACATATTTTTAAAACACTTATCACTCAAAAACATCGAATATAAGTATTTGTTCTAATTTTCAAACCATTCAAGATATAGTAGCAATTCTAAAGAAATATTTCTGTACCGTGTTTTTTCGTAGCATATCAACCACAATCTTCATGTCAGAATCAGTCAAACTTCTAAGCTTTAAATCAAATTCTGGTTTTTTTCGATTGTCAGTAATGAGTTCTTCAAGTTGAAGATTATGATATGGTGGAACTTCAATATATCTTCCACATTGAAGAATGTTTTGCTTTAAACTTGGAAATTTATTGATTCCTTCTAAAAAATATTCAGTTACAGTTGGCATTGGTAAAAGTTTTAATTTTTCATTTGTTTCGTTCACATAATTATCAAATCCTTGTTTAGCTTCTAATAGTTTTGTATGATTTTTAATTGATGAAAGCATTTCAAAAGACACCTTGTGTATATTAAGACGTTGTAGTTCCTTTGTTAATGGTTTTTTATAATCTTCAAGTTGTTTTCTCTGTTCTTTTTCAATATTGAAAATCTTTTGTAACATATCTTTCTCATGTTCATCAATAATTCGACGCATTTCTGCTATAGTTTCAGTCATTTTTTGTCGACTAGATTTACCATTATCATCAATTCTATTTAATAATATTTCTGTTTGATTTATTTTATAGTTTAAAGAGGATTGAATACTTTGAAAATCAGTATTTATCTACATCATTAAAGAAGTGCCGTACAATAATCTCTTATAATATTATATAGAACTTATGCTAACCTTGATTTTGAATCCTTGCATAACATCATCGAATAAAACATAACTGTGATTTTTATGTTGAAATAAGAGACAATCAACACATATAAGTTTCGAGCACATGAGACACCAATATTCTAATTGCTTTTTCGGATGTGTTACACATGGAATCGTTTCTAATGCTTTATTATCACTAGAAAGACGTTGATGTTTTTGCATAACTGGAGGAGCATGAACAGTTTCATAACATGTTGAACAAAATTTTTCATTTTCACATTTGTCACATGCATATTGAGCTTTGACTAAGCGACAGTTAGTACATCGATTTAATTCTTGAATTAAAGCTGAAAGATTAATATGAATAGAACAAGATTGTTTTTCATAGTATGTTAAATTATTCTGCTTACCATATAATTCTACTAAATCGCGCATTTCTTGATTAAAAGGTAATGAGTTGATATCTTTTTTCAATATGACGAAACCATCTCGTAGTGGACATTCGAATTGATCTGTATTCGTAGAAGCGATATGTTTAATGCATTCTCGACAATAAGTGTGCGAACAAGGTAATATACGTGGATCTTTGAATGGCTCATGACAAATCGGACAAGTGATCAAATGTTCGACTTTAACACTTTTATTAGTTGTCATATTAACGAATCAATAACAAGTAAACGTAGAATAAAAAGTTTTCAATCTAAAATGAATATGAGATGAAAATTTTCATTTAGAGTATCACTTGTCAGATTAATAATCCTTATGTTTATTGAATGCAAGTGGTTTGCAAGAATAAAAGTGATGTGTCAACTTTGATGTTTTACTTAAAAACTGGAACTATTATATTTGTATGAATGTGTTGTTAATAGGTTTGTTTATACATAGATTATTGTCTAATATTAATACGCATTTATTGAAAACATTTCAAAAGACTTGCATGCTCGTACTTGAAATAGGATAATATAAAAACACAAGTTTCTTAAAATTTAGTGCGAATACAATCGTGTTATACGCTATCTGGTCGATTAGGCTGTTAAATATAACTGAAAAATTATCAACTGATATACCTATAACATTAATACTTTAGTTTCTTCAAAGAATAGTAGTGACTGAATTGTTAGTTAATCAGACGTTGAATACACAAATTCTGCTAGCTTTTAGTATCAGTGTTTTTGGCTGCAGGCGAACTCGGCCTAGTGGAAACTTATAATCTAAAGAAGTCTAATGAAACCTGGTAGCCAATGATTGTTTTCGAATCACATCTATAGTTTCGAGATATCGTTAGATATACGTGCGATCGAACATTACTGTTTAAGTACTTATTTTCCATAATAATAACGTTTGAATTTATCATGCATTTCATCTCTGAAGGTGTTTTACTATATGTCTACTGTTTAGTTTTGAAAAAATGCTACTTTTTGATTTATGTATTGAACTACTTATGTAGAGATAATCGAAAATGAATATGAATAAGGGCGATGTTTTTTTGGACAAATTTTAAAAATGTCACTTATTTTGACACTAAACAGAAAAGAATTATATGGATAATATAAGAACTCTACAAGATACTCAGATGTATTCTAACTTTACAGTAAAATAGAGTAGAAAATAATTATTTCTGAACTTTGTTGTTGTTAAAAAAGGCCGAGATACTGAAAGAAGTACTCTATAAATATTTCCTATCAATACTCTTTCTTTTATTCTGCTATGCGGGTATTTCTGAAACGAGCATATTATAGGGAAATGTTTTACATAAAAAAAACTTTTCTTAAAATTGAAAAATTATTATTAAAAAATGTCCTTTCCCCATAAGCAGCGAATAGTTTTATTTTATGGTTTCATTTTCTTTTGTTTTTGCATTGTGGGTTTTTTCACAATGTACAAAATACAACATTATATGATTTGCTCTATGTTCGAAAACAAAATTCTTCGTTTTTTTTTTTGGATATTAAATGAATTATAATTTATATACGTTATCAAATCTACTGTAAATTAAACTTGTTGTTAGCAACTAATATGAAGACAGTATATAGTAGTAGAAAAAAAAATCGAATAGTTTTATATACACTAGACTGAAGTTAAATGTTGTATTAAAATTTGGAGAGACAATCTATATAATATCGATTTATCAGATCAGGAAAAAATGTTCATTTTGAATCTTTTTTATAAACCTACAGGTCATTGTTTTAATCATATTTAGTTTTTTTTCTTACCTTTAAGTAAATTTAATAATATTGATAGATTCTCGTTGTTTTGAATAAACTTTAATGAATGAAAACTATCAACTTACTACTATATATTTCATAAAGAGAAAAAGAATAGAAGAAATTTATTTTTGTCTTCATTTTTTTTTTTTTTTTGTTTAGATTTCATCAATATTATTTATGCATAAAAAATGTACATATTTTTGTTGTTGCAATAAAAAATTAAGAAAAAGTTGTTGTTCTTTTTTTTTTCATTCTATAATAAAGACAGATGAAAGAATTTCATGTGATTAATGAAGACATATAAGTCAGAACCCGTAGGCTTGCATTTTTTTCATTCGAAATCAAACTTTTATGTATCGAAAATAAAAATTGTCAAAATATAAGTTGATATCTATCGTTATGATATATGAACTATTTCCTTGTTGCATTTCTGAAGGATTAATTTAAAAAAATACTAACATCGATCAGCATATTTTAGTAATCACGAATCATATTTTAGACAACAAATTTTCAGCATTTTTCTGCTACCGGAGTTAAAGGTCAAATTAATGATTACTACAGTATGCTAATGGATATTAGCGGATGTTAATGTACAACGGATCTCCTCGATTTCCATTGAGAAAATTGATAAACGAGTGTTTGTAGAGTGAGTTATTACATCTCTACTTTGTGGAGTAGTAACCGAACCCTCAGTTGAAAAATTTGGGTGTTAGCATCTTTTACTAATACCTCAAATTTTACCTTTAAATCCGTAAGAAAAATGTAAAGCTAAAAAGAAAACATAATATATGTTTCGTTTTTTAATATTACAAAAAAAAAAAAAAATTATTTATTTAGTTGATTTAATTTTTTCAATACATGAACTTCTTCTAGTGTTCCTAATCGATAACCATATATATTTGGCATCATTGATGGATCTGAACCATAATAAAGAATTTTTTCAACATCATTATCATCATCAGGACGATAATAGATACCAGGTGCACGAAAGAAATCATATAAATTCCATTCTATGGGCAATGTATTTTGACTATCGTTTGTATGTTGTGAATCTTCTAACATCTAAAATATAAAAATAAATAAAAATTAGCAAAACCAAAAAAAAAAAAAAAAAAATTATTTTATACTTTAGAAAGTATTGTTAAGTCAATAGGTATAGTTGTATATTTAAAACGAGACGATGAAAAACGATTTATATCAATATTTGAATACGCACGACATACAATTAAAACAAGAGTTGTTGCTAATGCATCTTTTCTTGATGATTTTTCATTTGAAATTTTAACAGTTTCACTATTAAGTGTCTTAATAATAAAAGCAATGGCAAATGTTATAATTTTCTTAAATGTATCAGTTTCATATGAAGATATTCGTTCTTTTGGAGAAATTACACGACTCTTATTACAACAGCCCCATGATTGAGATGATGATTTATTTGTAATAGGTTCATTATAGATAATATTATCATTATGAGGTTTAAGACAAATAAGTTGTAAACGATAACGTGTACATAAATGTCGAGCAACAAGTTGAGCAATATCTAATTGATCCGTCATATCACCAACATTTCCAATTGATTTCAATTTCATTTTTATAATATCATAATCTGTTTTTTGAAGTACATTTGTATTGACATTTGTATCACTATTTAATATTGATTCAATGTCAGTAATAGATGTTATACCTTCACTTAATAATTCTACGATTTTACTAACTCTAAATAAATATCACATTTGTTAATTTCAAGAATATTTTAAGAGTAATTTTGTGATATACGAAGCATTCGATAAAAAAAAATTTTTTAACTTCAAAGTCTTTCTTTCAAAATTTAGTCTTTTTATTTTCTATTATATACTTATGAGAATAAACAGCGAACAATTCTCTGTAATAGTTGTACTTATTTTCGTTTCAATGAATGATTCGAATTTTTTTATAAATTCAATGAAATCAGTCTCTCTTACATAATGATTTCTCATGGTTTTTGCAATGAAAAAAAAAACATATGTATTAGCAGTTTTCATTCCTATGATATAATTAAACTAGACATTCGATTACAGTGACAAAAACTACACTGAGTAAAACCAATTTTCAAGAAATTTTTGTTCCTGCAAAAAACTGATCCGGGGGCAAAATTTTAATAAAACGGTGAATTTGCATAGGAAAAAAAATATTTCACTAAGAATGTATTTGATTCAATGTAGTTTTTATCACTAAAAATGCAATTAAAAACCATAATGCAAGAGAAAGATGTTAACTCTATTTCATCATGAATATACAATTTATTTTTGAATATATTTTTACTAGTTTATAGACAATAAAAAAAATTGTATAATACAAATATAATTTCGTTTGGAGTTCTGTGATGATTTTAAGTTCCGATAGGTGATTAATGGTTATCAAATGCACATTTTTAGTCTAATCGAAAAAATCATTTATTCATTCATGTTGACCTTATACAACTCGAGTTAATTAACATTGTATTACACTAAAATATCTGATTTTATTCAATTATATAATTCTCTAATGATTCATTGACGTTAAAACAAGCATATAATAGTAATAAAAGAAAATCGATATTGACTAGCGATTGATAGTTTGAAAATTTGTTGAATAAAATCACTTAAAATAAATAATTTATTACTTACTTATTCGATGTATTTTTAACATTATCAATAATACTATCACGATCAAGATTTAATATATTAATAGCTGCAAGTATATTCGATAGATTAATACGTAATCGTTCATAAAATATTAATTGATTTTTATATTTATCATCAATATCATTTTGAAATGTTTCTTGATCAACATTTTGTTTTCTTCGATTAGATTCCATAGAAATTAATTTACTAACATCATTTTTATCTAAATATGGTTCAAGTTTATCTGATTCCATTTTATCTTTAATATCTAAAAGATATGTTTTCCAATGATATATAGCACCTTTATGTTTGCTTAAGATATTATAAAATTCTATATGTACTTCATGTGCTTCAACAAGATTATTCATTTTTTTATGACAAAGTACCATAAGTGCATGTGCTTGTGGATATAAATTTTTTGTATCAGTTTCAATAGTAGCACGATATTCAAGAATAGATTTTTTATAATAAGTTAATTTTGTTGTTAAATTTTTCTTTCGAACAAATAATCCATCATATGCCATAGCTAATTCTAGATGAGTACGTGGTGATGATGAATCTGTACGATTTATTTCTTCATGTAATGTTTTTATACGATTTACAAGCATTGTAATTATAGCAAAGTCTGACATATTAATTTGTTTTCCACGTTTTCTATCTTGTGCAGCATCATCAAGTTTACCGAGATGTTCATTGACAATTGCTCGTTGAAATAAAATATCACTTTGTTCAGGAGATAGATCATGTGCTCGATTTAATGATTTTAAAGCATCTTTATATTGTCCTTTGTCTGATTGCATCATACCCATGTAATAATATGCTTGAGCATGATAAGGATGTACATTAATAGCTCGTGAAAACCATTGTAATGCTTGTTCTTTATTATTTAGAGTATATTCACTAAGACCACATCGAAAGCAAATATCTGATTGTTGAGCAGATTTTTCACTGAGTGTTAAAGCTTTTTTAAAATCTTCAAGAGCTGCATTATGTCTATTTAATTCAGCTAAAACAACTCCTCGTTTAAATAAACCTTCAACATTATCATGACAACCTACATTATAAGCTCTTTGTAAATCTTCTTCTGCTTTGTCAAACTCATTTTTCGATATGTTAACACTTGCTCGACAACATAAATAATATGGATTTCTATAATATGTTAGTTTATTTGCTTCGTTCATATCTACCATGGCCATATCAAGTTCATATATAATTTGATATGTCAATCCTCGTGCTATTAGAGCCTTATGAATTGCTTCAGCTATAGCATTAGATTGATTTATATATTCAGTATAATTTTCAATGGCATCTTCATATTTCCCAATATTATGATAAGCTAATCCACGTTTGTACCATAATTCTAAAGCAAATGGTGGTCGTTCACTATGTTTTAATAATTCAAAACATTTATCAAAATCAGTAAGTGCTTCTTGTGATTCTGAATAATGTTGAAGTTCAAGTCGAGAACAACCAGAAAGATATAATGAAGTAGTTGTATCTGGTTTAATTAATGAAAATTGTTTGATTGCTTCTCGATAGTTATGATTGTCAGCAGCACGCATGCCTGCTGTAAGTTTTTCTTGTTTGTAACTATTAAATGGAACAGTCTAGAAAAAGAATTTATTTTGAATATTTGTATTATAACATTAAAAAGAAAATAAGTTTTAATCACTTTCAATGAATATTAATCTTTCTATTGTTTTATCACTTATATCCGAAGACAAAACAGCAGACTTCAACATATATTATAAGCTGTTAGAATAATTTCTGCAGGATTAAAATTTAAAAAAAAAAATTATTGCTTCAGCATCATTTTATTTAATCCTTCAGAGATGTAACAAGGACTTAGTTTATGTCTATAATTTTTCTATGGTAATGTTTGGAGAAGTGAGAGTCTCAATTTTGACTATATATACTTCAACATATCTTTTAGATCGTGTTTTACAAAAGATCTATAGCTCAAGAACATCAAGACTAAACTGTTTGCTGTTTTCACCTTGTTTACATCTCATCTATCATCACTGCATATACAATTGAGGACTCTCTAGAAAATTAAAAAAAAATCATCTTAAAGCGTACTATCTATCATTAAAAAAAATACTTGAGTACATCAGAAAAATTGCTTAATCTAGACCTTTACAATTCCTCAGTGCTAAAAAAATGAAACTTCTACCATCAATATAATTTCATACAATCTATCAAAATAATTAAAAAAAAAAATGATGATATGGTAATTAAGAATTCCCAAAATATGATATACTCCTAGGTATTTTTTTTTCTTAAGATTTCATCGTATTTCCAATCAAAACAAAAAAACCAACTTTCGTTCACTCATACTGAAAAATTTCAACATTTAGTTATATTATATTATCTTATTACATCATTGACAATCAAAAGATAGTTAAAAAAAACTAATGACAGGAAGTATAATCCATGCAAAAGACGCTACATCCTTTTTTTTTGTTGTAAAATATGTTAGTTTTTGGTACTTGTTAAAATTATGTACATACTGTTTCATCCTCGACTTCAGATGAACGTACAGGAACATCTAAAATTGTTGGTGCAACTTTTTTATTTGGAAGAGATGCATTGTTTAATAATCGATTGTTAGTCGTGTATCGTAGAGCCATATTGGCAACAAGTAAGTAGTACTTTGTTACAATTAAGTTTGCACGCCTTTAAACTATTGATGATTTGTTTGAAACTGTAACTATGTTGGCTTTTTTTTTTGTCACTTAACAATGCTATAATAAAAGAGAACAGAACGATTCGTTTTGTATATGTATTCAATGATTCGATCATATGAAAAAACAAAAAAATTGAAGAGTAAGCAAAACGTAGTTGTCCGTGTTTCAATTGTTCTGTCCTTCATCTTAACTTTCACATGGTAGTGTAAATACATGTTAATGATTATCAAATAAAACCTTTTTTGTTTTGGTACATATTATTTAATAATCCAAAAGACATCATTTTCGAGTAAAATATTAACTACAAAAAAAAAAGAAGAAGAATAGATAATGTTGTCTATTGAAATGACTTATTCGAGAAGTCAAATCGATAATTAGATGAATTTTTGTGGATCTTATAGTTTTACCGTCGATTAGCATCCAGATTAGTGATTTTAATAAAATAAGTTAATTCGATAGTTGTAACAAAAAAATATTAAGATTAAGAGGACTCCATCTCTTTCCGGATGCAAAAGTTAAATTTTTCATCACTCGTATACTTTCGAAGGGCTTCCTATCGGTTCTTTATTGCTAGTTCATAGTTTTAATAAATCCAATTCTTGAAATTCCTAGCAGAAAAAATCGCGCTATGATTATTGTTTGTATGTAAAATTCTTCAAATGATAATTTCTAAAGATGCTGAGAGAATGAAACATTTTAAAAAAGAAAAAAAAATAAGCACCTTGATTTAGTCCTAGTTGTCATAAAAAGAATACGTACGATACATTTCAATCTATGATGTAGAAGTAATATAAAAAGGTCTTCTTCTATCTTTTCTCTGACAGTTAGGATCACATATTGAACAAGCAAAATAACGTATACTTAAGGTTAACCAAAAAATCTGACCATACTAAATAAAATTATAAAAATAAAGAGAAATTTTTTTTATTTAGTTTTATCAAGTATTCAAAATAGTTGCCGTAATTATTTATATAAAGTCTCTATCCGTTCTAAGATTTTTTCAAATTCTTTTTTGTTAAATTCTTTTGCAGGAAAAATTTTTAACTATCTTGGAAACCACACGAATCAATAAGAAATTATGCTTGATGTAATCATTTAGTCCAAAACCACACCGTGCAAATTCATTGCTCATCAATTCTAAAAAGAAAACAGCTCGACTTTATAAAAAATCATTCAATCAATCTAATGAGTCATCACTACTCATCCCCCAATTCTGACGACCTCAATATACTCTTACAAAGTCTAGTGAAAACCATGGATGCAGTATTATATTTATTCTCATTTGCGTTAAATAAGTAATAACATCACGATGAGTATGAGGTCGAACATGATCATGAAGTACTATAATATTTTTTGCATCTGATGATTTCAACGAGGAATAGTGCCATTGGTGATTCACTTTCACTAACCTAACTTATATTCAACCTGTCTATGACAAAATCATGTCGGGTCTCTTCCATTTGTTCATCATTGATCAATTTTGAATTATTCATTCTATTGTATCATGAGAGAAAGAAGTTTCAGTTATAATATCGTTATCAGTAGAACATGGATAATTGTTTATAATGTATTGTATCAGCTCGAGAATCATCATTGACATTTTCGATTCTTTCATGAAAACGTAGATTTCAATACTATTGTATGTTTCTCGTGAATTGTCTTTGCATCTTTTTACAAAATACTCTGAATTTTAATATTGTCTTAATTGCATTCGTTATTTATTTAAAAAAAATTTTTTTTTTGTAGTTAAAATTGGACTCTATATGAAAGAATATTATAAAATTTCAATATACATATCTTTATATTTTTCAAGTAGCAATAACTTTTGAAAATTACACTATGAATCATTCTGTATGATTTCTTTTTATACATATGACTTGTTGCAATAGGCATATAATCATTAGAATTTTCTATGCTCTTATTTTGAATTTATTACGCTATAAAATGATTATTTGTTTTTTTTCATCTTTCAAAGATAAATCTAATTAAATAATTGAGTGATTTTTATTGTTGTTAACTTTATTTCAATTGAATATACTTTTAATTTTCCCTAAAATATGATTATCATTCTATTGAAAAATAATCATATGAAATATTTAAGTATTCGCGAATAGTAAAGAAACGAATCTCATTTTGAATTCTTAACAGTAACAATCATATTAAAGTATAAACAAGTCAAAATAAAATATTTTAATTATATTTTGTTTATTAATATAATTCATTTTTTAATATAATGTACAATTCGAAATCAGATATGATCGTCCTTCATCATGAACTTATTTTTGTAGATAACAACTGTAAATAAAATTCATGTACATAATACTTACATTATGAAAATAATGAATAATATATATATAAAGATAAGAATGTACTTACTCATATGATTCAATCTAAGAAGTATTTGAAGAATAATGAATTTCTTTATATTTTGATTATATTTCTTTTAATATTCGTTGATTAAGACTGTTGTTTTTTTCAAAAAATTTATCTTTTAATTCTTTACCATATAGTATATTTTTCTTTATTAATGTCGATAACATCTATGACTGTTGCAGTCACACTTCATGGAAACAGTCGAACGTAAATATTTTAAAAAACCACATTTTTCTGAAATGTTGTTTTTTTTTTTGAGCATATGTTTCAATCATTTAATAAAAATATCTTTCGATTTTATTATGTTTTTAAAATTAATAGAAGTAGAAAATATCTTCAAAGCTAAATAGTTAAAAATTTCAATATGGACTATTTGATAGTCAATGTTTCTTATTGATGATTAAAAAAAAAACAAGAATTATTCTGAAATTATTTTTTTAATTTTTCGAAGCATTTTCTATTTCAATCAGTTGCAAAAAAGGCAAAATCGAAAGATATTCTTATTGAACAATTGAAATATGCACTCAAACAATTTTTTATATTCGACTATTTGTTTGAAGCGAGTCGAAAAATATGACGGATATTATCTGTATGAATAAATATTATACAACATACGTTAGAGAATTAAAAAATAAAATTTTCGAAACAAAAAACTTGAATCATCGAATATTAAGATAAACATTATCAAAATACACGCAGGTACATTATTCTTAGGGCAGTCATTTATTATTCTCTTTATTACTTTTATTTCACTTTGATCACATATATATTAATGATCTTCCATTACGAATTTGATAGAAATCTATCACTAGGTGTGTGTATGTTACAAAATAGTATAATGAATGTTTTTCTTTTCATTACTGTTGAAGTTACCTAGATCAATTAAAGAAAAAAACAACAAAATGACGTTCTTCTTTTAGAAAATATTTAAGAAATACATGGCATGAATTTAAAAAAGAAATGTCAATTATCATAAGGCATTAATAGTCATAAAATATACGTTCCACTGATATTAATCTTGAATTTTATAGAACATCAATAATCATAATATTAAAGTTTGTTGATGATTTACAAGACTCTTGTGATCTATTAGACATTAAACAAAAGAAAAAAAATATGTACCCGAATATTTGAATATTGACCGAATAAAATAATATTTTGTCCTCAAACTTTGGCCTTAGACAATATGTTAATGTCTGATATTCATATATTACTATTTGCTCAAAATATGATCGATGTTGTTTCCTGTGAGCAGTCAACCATTTCGTGCATTTTTTTTTGCTTACGTCTAGGTTTCTTTACGACAATTATTTATTACTATTTGTGCCCTTTTGACTTTTTTATCTCACTAAGCCTCACAGTATATAAAGTCACTGATTTTTGCGACAAAACCACAAGCAGTTTCTCATCAATACAACAGAGGTAGGTGATTCTTTATATACATATATTTGATAAAACATTATCCTTTGCGATATTTTGTTAGAGCATCCAAAGCTTTACTTCATCTCGATTAATATTAAAAAACTTTCATCAATAATCATGGTGAGTTTATTGTTTTTTCTTGTATATTCATTCTTATTTGTAATTTTTCATTTACATAGGTCTTTCAATCTCCTTATTATTCATCCTATGGATCAGCAACATCAAGCTGTCCAGGTTGTGCATTTTCTCAATCACAAATGGTTTCTCAACCAATTTTTTATCCACAATCATATTATTATCGAGGCATTTACTGATCAATGTTTTCATTTGTCGGACTAACGTAGTAGGATGCTAGGAAATTTCAAATAATCGTTATTTATGAATGTGACAAAATATTTTTTCTTTAATTTTTCAAAATAAAAGCTGTAGAAATATCTAAACATTGATCTTATTTATGTATCATTGCTTTTCATATACTGGGTACATTTCACCTGAATTCAAAATGAAACAGAAATAATATATTTTATCATCGATAACAGTAGTTAAACAAATGATTGAGGTAAAATGTAGTTCGAAATAGCTTGTTGATCATATATATGCATAAAAAGAAGTCATATACTAGATTATTTTATTTTTTTCATTTCTCTTTCTCAATTATCTTGCTAGTATAGGCTAGCAAATTTATTTAGGAAGAAAAGCGAAAAAAAAACTTCTCTTAGCAACAAATAAACGGGTATATGACTACTTTTTTTTTTATACATGCACACGGATAACAAGCAATTCTCCAATATCACTCATTGATCAATAATATCTGACATATGCCTACAATAAGTAAAACGAAGTTGATCAGATAATATTTTATGTATCAATCAAGTTTTCATGCAATATCTCTCTTAGAAGGATTGAGAATGAATTATTGAGAAAACCAAAAAAAACAAGAACACAAAACAAATTTTGTCTTCTTCATTTCAAATAAACTCATCAAATGACAGGAGGCAAAAAGAAAAAAACTTTTTGATTTGTCATCCGTGACAATTAGATAGTCGTTTATACTAAAAGTGTATTTTTCATATGATGCAAATTTTGTTCTATGAGGCAATCATTTCATCTGTATTTTTAACCACGCCTTTCACCATACCGCAATTACA